TTTCTCTCTCCGTAGCTAGCAAGAGTACTGTATTCTGCTTAACTTTCTTCTATCCTGCACTTAGGCAAATACCTCCAGAAAGGAATCTGGGGAAATCTTTGGGTTTATCTTACTTGTTTTCCTTCTTTCCAGGATCTCAGTCTTACTGTGCTTGTTGTCCAATGTCTGAAGACACTAATTTCACATCTTTGGTCCAATTTTCTATTGTTTGTGGTAGGAAAGTTAGTCTGGTACCAGTTTCTTATTCATGGTTGGATCACCCATGACATTTTTAAAATGTAAACTTTCTATTGAATAATGAAAGACATACTGAAAACTTGCATATATCTTAAGTGTACAACTTGACGGATTTTCATGAATTAAATACACTGGTGTAATCAAGACCCAGATCAAGAACATTATTAGAACTCCAGAAGCCCCCTAGTGGCCCTTTCCAAACACTAATACCACCTAAGGGTAACCAATATCCTGACTTCTACTCATATACTATTTTTGTCTGTTTTGAATATTCTATAAGTGGAATTGAGTAGTATATAATTTTTGTGTCTGGCTTATATCAGTCAGTTTTATGATTGCAAGATTCATCCATGCTATGCACGCAGTTGATGATTGTTCATCCTCTTTCCTGTATACTACTCCATTATGTGAATATTCTAAAATTTATTTATCCTATAGAATTTATATATATGTGTTTTGGTAACCATTGGAATACATTTCTGTTACATATATACCTAAGAGTGGAATTGCTGAGTTAAACCCACTCCAACAAACACCAAATTTATACAATTAGTCTAGACATTTCTTCTGAACTCCAGTTATATATCCAAATCTGTTTGTCATCTCCATTTATAAGCATCTCAAATTTAACATATTCCAAACCATTTGCTCCTCCTTCCATGTTTCTGAATCAGTAAATGGCTTCTTAATTCACCTAGTTACTTGCAGAGTCATCCTTAATGCTCCTCTTTTCCATACCCTTCTCAGCAAGCCAATTCATTATTAAGTCCCTTGGATTCCACCTCTGATTTATATGTCTCAAAATTATCCAACTCTTTGTCTCTACTCTACTCTACTCTACTGCCATCACCCTAGTTTAAGCCACTATCATCTCTGGCCTTGACTAATGTAACTGTCTCCAAACTGGACTCCCAGCAACCTCTCCTGCCCTCTTGCAAACTATTCTCTACAAACAGCCTAAGTGAGCTTTTAAATATGTAAATCAGATCCTACTTAACACTCTATTAGCTGCCCATTGACCTTAGGATACTTTCCAAAATACAGTATAAAATCTATAATGTGGCCAGGAAGAGCCTGCATAGTCTGGCCTCTGCCTCATCTCAACTCAAGCTTGCCCTCTACACCTCAACCACACTGACTTCCTTTCACTTCCTAGAACAGATTAAATTCTTTCATGCCCTGACAACCTCAGACATAATGTTCCTTTGCCCTGCAACATTCTTTAAGGCTCTTTCATATGCCTGGAACTTAAAAGGCACTCCTTCAAAGAGCTCTCTTCCCTGATAGTCCTGATTAATCTATCATCGCACCCACTAATTTTCCTTCATAGAACTAATCACAATTTATAATCTTGTAATGATTTATGCTTTAACATCCCTTGCTCCTACCATACTTTAGATTCCATGGAGTGTTGTTTAGATTCACTCCTCTAACCCAGTGCCTCTAATACCATGCTTGGCACATGGTATGCAGTCAGTAAGTGCTTGTTTAATAATGCATGACGGATACAAAAGCTGGAAGGGGCCGTAGGAACAGCATCTGGCACTTCTTTGCCAAGATTAGGTGCCTCCCCGTGTGTGATGGTAGATGGGGCAGGTCCTCTGCTTGTTCACTTAGAGGGGATTTTTCCCCCCTGCTCCTTCGGTGTTTGCTGTAGGGCCGCGTGAGAAACAAACTGCCTCCAGATACAGGCGGCAGGCGAGAGAGATCAGCCTTACTTGTGAGGGGCAGCATTATCTGTCACCAGAGAATTCTGCACTCTCTTGGAGTAGAAGCGTGAAAAGTAGCTGATCTTCCCTGGAGGGGGCGGGGCAGTGTGTCCTTCCCCCACTACCTGATTGGCCTGGCGAGCCGAGGGGACGGGGGCGGGGCTTCATCCCGCCGGGCGCCAGCCACGTTGCACGCGGGGCTGCCCCGAGGAAAGGCCACTCCCCGGCCCCACAATGCATTGCGGGCCGCGTCACTCGGAGCGGCGGGTCCCAGCTCGACAGGTACGGCCCGGCCCCTCCTAGTCCTCGTTCTTCCCTTCTCACGGTCGCCCGGACGCCTGGCTGGCCGTTCCCTCTCTCTTCGTCTTCTTCCACAGCCTCCGCCCTCTCTCTCGAGACTACAGACCTACTCCGGGCGGGAACAAAGCTCGTGGCGTGGGGGCGGGAGCTGGGAGTCGTCGGAACCGTGGAGCGTTGGAGGGGCAGGATTGTGGGACTTTGTCCCCTTCGACTTGAGGGGTCTGTGGGGCCGCGCAAATGGCAGCTGCCCTTCAGCTGACTTGCCCAGTTATGGGGCAGCGTGGGCAGGGGACCGAGGGGTGGGACAGTCGCTCTGGGCTGCCAGCAGTGGAGGGCATTCCCTGGCGCCCAGGTGTCAGAAACACGGTGACCTAACTGGGCTGCTTAGGTGGCCCAGAGAACTTGACGTGACATTTCCTCTTTTAGGCAGAGTGTCTTACTTTGCCTTTTGTGGGATCGAATGAGTATTGAGCCCAAAGATTTGCCCACGTTGACTCACGAAAGACTCTTACGGCCCTGTTAATGTTAATGGCACTTTGGGAACGGTGTTTCATTAGGGACACCTGAGCAATTGACGCCACAGATGGAAGAGAGTTCCGAAATAGGAGACCGAACCACCGCCGGCTTTAATTTGTCTGCCATTGAAAACAGCGTTGGCGTTTTCTCTTCCTTAGTTTCCTAGATTATCCACCTGGGGCAGTGGCAGAGCTTGAGAACCAGCTCCTCCTGTGCCTCTTCAGCCAAGGCAAAGCCCAGGGCTAAATTAGTGTCAGCCACCTGGTGGGAGATGTTGGGATCCCAGTTAACAGGTGGAACAGCCACTCTTTAAACTCTGAGTCACATTTCGGCTTAACTGGCATTTGCTCACGAGCTAAGTAAGATAATAAGAATTCAGGCAATGCCTCCAAAAGTACCTACAATTTCTAGTGTAGGAAGGCGGTGTAGCTCAGTGTTTGAACCTGATGTCTGTGACTATGCCCTGCCCTAAGTTAAGGGACATTTTGGCATTTCCTATGTTGAGAACCATGATTTCAATTTAGTGCCTTTTCTTGGTGTATGACTGATTCTTAAAAATCTAAGTGTATTTTATACTGGTGTATGAACAGAGCCCAGGTCTTACCAAAGGGGTGCCTGTGACCTTCTTATCCTTGTAGTTGAGTAAGAAGCTCAGATATGTTGAGAGGCAGTGTCTCACAGGACAGGTAGAGTTAGGCCCAAGTTTGTCTGTCACTTGCTAGTTTAGGGATTGAATAAGTTACTTTTCTGAGCTTGAATTTCCTCAGAGGTAAAGTGGAGCTGATAGTATCTACCTAACAGGTTATTGCAAGGCTTAAATGAGATAGTGTGAAAAGGTGTCTGGTAAATAGAGGGCAGTCAATAAATACTAATATCAATCACTTAATATTGTACTTTTAGTCTGCAAGGTGATGTTTCAGTTTCCTTACATGTCCCGATGAGGTAGGTACCATTAGTATCTTTTTTTTTAAAACCCTATGGGATAGATACTGTTGGTAGCCACAATTGACAGATGAGGATATTGAATATAAAAAGGCAAAGCTTGCCCAAGTTTACACAGTTACTACATGGTGGAACCAGTTTTTGAAACCAAGGAAGTCTGGTTCCAGAGTTCATCCTATGAACTACAGTCCTATACTGCTTCTTAAAGAAAATGTAAGCTGGTTTTTAAAATTACTGTTATTTCGAAATGAGTAGCCAGTTTCTGTATCATTGGGTTCTTGCTCCTTGTTGGTTGTAGGAGGTAGCATAGTGATGTAGGGATACAAGAGAGTTAGGTTTAAGCACCAGTTCTGCTCTGTATTAGCAGTGTGTTGTTGATAAAGGGCTCCTCAGTTTCCTCATCTGTAAAATGGAGATTATATCTGCCTCACTCTTTGTGAACTGTGGGGTGTTACACAAATGATTGAGGCATTTGTGCATGTGTTGGAGGCCTTGTTCCAAGATGTGGGTATAATCTCCTCTGGAGCCTGAGGGCTTATACATATTGTGCAGTACAGGCACCTATAATAGCAATACCAAAGGCTGCTAGTAAGGTGGAGGGCTCAGGCAAAGCTGCAAAATAAACTCTGTTTGTTCTTGCTACCCTTTCCTCTTCTTTTCAAGCTCTATCTCCCTGGTGCCTTCTTGCTAACCTATGGCTGTATCCTTCCCTTTGCACTCAGTCTTGCCCCCACCCTGTGTATCACAGTTAGTATAGCTTTCTTCCCAAATAATCCCCCAGTTCCCACAGGCACTTTTAATAAAATAATATGTACCAAGATAGTGTTTCCCAAACTTTGGTAACATCAAATAGGTAAGATAATTTGAATGATAAACAATGAACATTAAAAAAAATTCTCCCAAAATTTTCACACACATATTTTAGTGAAACAAAAGAAATATTCTGTGTATTTTAATTTAAATTAGGACAAGAACCTAACACCTTAAAACTGATTTCACAGATACTATTCTTAAGGATAGGGCAAAAAAAAATAAATCAATTGAAAGACTTGTATTTGGTCAGTAATAGTACAGGTGGGATGCAGATATGATAAGACTTCTAAAAATGGTACTTGAGTGAAGTTTGGAAAATAATGAACTAAAATAAAATATGAGTGATCAACCCATTATGAAATGTTTTTATCTTAAAAGAGGCATTTATGAAAACATCTTGCTGGAAAATAGATATAAAATGTACTCATATGTTGGGTTTTGTTATTTTTTTGAGAGATTGCCTCCCTGGTACCTTGGGCCCACAGTCATTACCCCAAAAGGTTGTGAAGCAGAGAGGTGAGCACCTTGTTATCTTGGGTCTAAAGGGTTGCTAACCACTGCTATTGGAGTTTGGCATTGCAGGAGTTTATTTTCCTCAGACTTCCATAAATGTTTACCCAGAGCCACCTAGGTTCTAACTTGGGCTTTTTCCTAGCAGTTACTATTGGAGAAAGATATACAGGCCAGGAGTCAGATTCCCTCTAAGTCTTCTCCTGCTGCGTAAAGGCACATGTTACATTTTCTGCGTTAAAAGTAAAGGAAAATGGACCAGTGACCTAAAAGTGTATCTATGGCTCTGGTAGAACTATTACTGCTCTTGAATCTTCCCATGCAAGTATTTTTAACTTCTTCCTTTCCTCAGTTTCCACTGGCTCTTCTTTGGTTTTTCCAACCATGAAACTCTAAGGGTTTTCTAACCCTAGCTTGGCCTTGACGTGAGCAGATACCTTTTTCTCCTGCCATAGCCCAGATAAGATTAGAGCGTGTATCTGTTTTTTAAGGAACTGTATTAAGAATCGAGGTAAAAAGAAAACGGGGTTTATTTATTGAGTTGATAAAGAAGAGATTGCTTATCCTAAGGTGATTGAAATCTGCCTACAAATTAGTTAAGCCTGGCATTGTTCACTTGACAGTCATCCCAATTTCTTTTCTTAGTTCACTGGTTTGGATGCTAGGTCAGATTACTCTAGAAGGAAGAGATTTAACTTTTTCTTCTTAAAGAAATCTTATTTACTGATAAATGGAAGCAGTTCTCTGACACCATTTCAAGAATTTAGATAGGAAGTATCTCTGCAGTATTGTGTTTTTGGCTACAAGCCTTAAAGTGTGTATTAGGAATATCTGAAAGGCAAGTTTGTCTAACCATAGTTTTCCAATTAGTAAAGTGGTGGGCAGCGTATCTTGTGTTTGCTGTTTTCATCTGAATTTCTTTAATTTTGGACTGCTGCTCCTTAGTGGTAGGACCTATCTATTCGTAATGTGTGACATAGCCCCTGACATACATTATGTACTCAATAAATGTTTGTTGAACAATTGGAACTTACAGGTTGGTATTCTTCTCTCAGTATATGTTTCAGGAAGTATGAATCATATCCTGTCTTTTGAGTCATAAAAAGGAAAACAGTAACTTTAAAGATTACATGAAAGTTGGCACCCTGTAATAAAGATTTTTCATAATATATCTTTTGGGGTCCTACAAAGATCAGGCATAAAAGAATGCAGTCTACTTTTAAATATTACTAAGAAAATGGATATTTGGAAACTTCAAGTCATAACCCTTGCCCTCATGTTAATTCCCAGAGTGGTCATTGTGTTGCAGTATGCTTCTGGAAAGACAAAATTTTATATTTAAATAATAATTGTGTAAGGTTATGAAGTAAGACATTTTCCTAATTTCTTATATACTAAGGTTAAATGTTACAGTTGTGGTTTACTAAATAAAACATGGTAACAATTTTTAAAAGAGGTTTATAGTATAGACATTATCCCTTGAGGGATCCCAGCTTTCTCTTGCTACTGCTTTTAGAAGAAAAAAGAAACTGGTTGAATAGGAAAAAAAAAATGATTTGAATATGTCATGTTGGAACTTTTGTTAAAAGTTTCCTTTATGGTAAAAGCTAATTAAATTTCTGCTGGGTTTTTTTTTCCTTTTAAATAAATGGGGGAGAAAAATATTAAAGGGTGATGACATATTAATACCAACTTTTCCTCTAATTTCCTCATGAAGAGAAAAGGGAAGTAAATTGAATGCATAGCTTTATTATTTGGATTAATCTTTATAGCCAGTTACCATCATGAATGGGCATTCAGATTTCAACTTGACATAGCAACAAAAGTTATAGACCGCTGGTTTCCAAACTCGGTATAGTTGATTTTCTATGTCATTTTTTGATATATTACTTCTCAGTTTTTCGTTTTTGGAGTGAGAAAATACTGACCTAGCTGAGCTGGGAAGGTAAGGATTAATTTAGTCTCTGAGATACAATATCATGAAAAAAACCCTATGAAATTGTTACCAGATTTTTCAGTTTTTACTAGTTGTGCCTAGTGCTAGTGAAGGGGAAGCATTTAGTGGCATTGTGCTCCAGTGGCCTGGCAGGAAAGAGTTATCACTGAATTTCAGACTGTGAACATGTTTTAATTCAGTGTTTTTCAAAGTATTATCATTAGACAGTAAGCATGGTAATTACCTGGAAAATTTGCTAAAAATGGAAAATTCTCAAGCCCTACTCCATAGTCAGTGAATCAGAATTTTTGGAGGATGGGCCCAGAAATCTGCATTTCTTAATAAAAATTCCAGTAGTTTTTATACAGGCTGAAATTTGAGAACCACTGTGTGTGTGTGTGTGTGTGTGTGTGTGTGTGTGTGTTTTAAATGAAAATTTGACTGTCTACCTGATTTCTTTCAGACTTAGGCCTATCCAGTCCTTTTATTTATTTTTTGTAAAACATGATTAGAATAAAGTAAAAGAGGTCATTATGATTTACTTTCTGGTGAAAAAATTGAGAAGCATATCAAAACTAGTATTCCTTTAGCTTTAAGATTTATTTTAAATAAAAATAGTTTTTTCTGATTATAAAAGTAATATGTGCCCATTGTGGAATATTATGGAGATTTAGGAAATTATAAAATGATAAATATCACCCATTACACTATTTCCTGGAGATAAGAATAGTAATTTTGTCATGTTTTCTTCCAGTATCTATTTCTCCATTTATCACTCCTTTCTGCTTTCTCTGTGTCTTTATGGAAAATAACATATGCAGTTTTGATCCTGCTTTTTCTCTACCTAACATATAAGCATTTTGCCACACTATTAAACTAATTTTCACAGACATAACTTTTAGTTGCATTATATTCCATCATAGGGGTATAATACCATAGCTTATTTAACCATTCTCCTATTGTTGCATGTTTGTTGTTTTCAATTATTTCTATGAGAAAATCTCTTTATATTTAAAATTTTGTCTAAAGCTGATTATTTTCCTTTAAGATAGGGTTATATATTTAAATGTATTGTGGTCATAGGGCATAAATATTTTTAAATTCTTGTTGAACATCACCAAATTGTTTTGAGAGTCGTGTTTATTCCAGTATTTACGTCCACATATACTTATGGAAATGCCAGAAAGCAAGTATTTTTTTTAATAGCTAATTTGTTGCAGAAAGCATGGTATGTCATTACTTTAATTAGTATGTCTTTATTAGTGAATTGCACGTTTTTGCACTATGTTTACAGCTGTGTCTTTAATTTCTTACCTAACCCAAATTGTTCATTTTGTTTTAGGTCCTCTCTGTCGGTTGAAATGTCTATGATTTTATCTGCCTCAGTCATTCGTGTCAGAGATGGACTGCCACTTTCTGCTTCTACTGACTATGAACAAGGCACAGGCATGCAGGAGTGCAGAAAGTATTTTAAAATGCTCTCCAGGAAACTTGCTCAGCTTCCTGATAGATGTACACTGAAAACTGGACATTATAACATTAAGTAAGACTTTACTTTGCTCCATTAGAATCATTTGCTTAGTGATTGTTATTTTAATGAAATTTAAGTGGTCAAATAGAAAGTAGTGTTTGATTAGAATTTGTTCAAGTCAAGAGTCATGTGGTTCTGAGCTTACGCTATATAGTCTTCATCATGTCATCACACTTCTTGCAGTTTCTCTGTTTATGTCTGACTTTAGAGAGTCTTATAGTTCTGCAGATCACAGGTGTTCTATCTTATAAGTTGAACTTTAGATATTTAATGGTGTTCTTACATGCCCAGGAAAACTGTAATGGGAAATATGAAAAATTATATATGAGACTTGCCCTCAAAGAACTTAAGAAGTTGACATCCAGTGAGAAGGGGGTAGTGCACATCACTACATATTGTATATAAAGAAAGTAAAACTGGGTGATGAGATAGAGTGACTTTATGGTGGTCAAGGGCCTCTCTAAGAGAGTAACATTTGAACAGAGATGTAAAATATGTGAAAGAAGTTGGTCTTATGAATGCTTTAGATGAAGAGCAAAGCAGAGGTAACAGTGCAGAAGGCCTTCAGTACAGATCAAGGAATGGAAAGAAAACCAAGCAGTAAGGACAATTAAGAGAGTGGTGGAAGGTGAGGTTAGAAAGGTAGAAATGGGACAGGTTTCGTAGGGCCTTCTAGGCTGTGATTAGGAATTTGGATTGAGTGTAATGTAATAGGAAGCCACTGGATAGTTTTAAGCTGGAGAATTATATAATCTGATTTTGGCTTTGAATAGATCATCCTTGCTGCTCTATGAAGAATGGACTCTTAAGGGAGAAAGAGTGGAAGCAAGAGAGATCATTTAGGAGACTTTTAGAGAAGTTGAGGTAGAGGTGATTCTTATAACTTAAATAAAGGTGATGATGATGAGAAGGTGTATTTGGGCTATATTTTAGGAGTAGCACTAACAAAACTTCCTAATGGATTGAAGTGGGATGTGAGGGAAAGAGAATAATCAAGAGTTATCTCTAGATTTTTTGACCTAAAGAATGTCCATAATTACTTGGATAATGGAGCTGGAATGTGCAAGGCTATAGGATGTGAATTTCAGTGGTAAAAATCAAGAGTTCTGTTTGGACTTAGGTCCGAGATGCCTACTAGACATCCAAGGGGCACTATCAGGTAGACAATTGGATGTATAAGTCTGAAGTTTAGTGAAGAGAGACAAGTATGAACATGTAGATTTGGTGGTCAGCTTACAATTGATAATCAAAACCATGGGAATAGTTAAGACCACCTCAGGGAGCATACACATGAAACAATTGGAGAGCAATGAACTCCTGAGCAGTTTGATACTGATTGTGCATACAATGGGAAATCAGACAAGAACAAGGTCCATATGGAATATAATAAGGACAGGGCTTTGTTACTGCGATGAGACATGAGCCATGTCCTGAAGAATTAGTAAAATTTGGCTAAGGCAGAGAGGAGGACGTTCCAGCTGTAGGGAGAAGGCAAGATAAGTAAAGAATGTAGCATTGTAGGTGCATTAACCTGCTTGGCCTGGCATAGTGAATGGTGATTCAGAAATAGTTATGGTAAATGTGAGATAATTAGTGTGGGGCCAGATCCTGGGTTTCCCTGAAAGTTCAGTTTGAGGGTTGTCATTTCGATGATTTGATAGGTTATAGGAAGCTGTTACTGCAGGTTTGAGGAAAATGACTTGGTAAAAAAACAATGCTGAGACAGTGAAATACAGGGTGAAATGGAAAGTCTGAGGAGAGGAGAGAAATCAGCTTATAATTAGGGCTTGAGCTAGTAACATACAAGTGCAAGTGAAAAAGAAAATGCCAACCAGAAAGACACTTGAAAAGAATCATTTAAGCCTGGTAATATGGAATGCCAGAGATGAAGAGAAGAAAGGGACAAAGAAAACTTAGAATTGGAATTACAAAACAAGAACTTTGGAAAGGGTTGCTTGTGGGGTGAGGAAGAAGAGGAAGACAGTGAAGCTCCATCTTGAACATCTTAATTGAGCTTATGACAAGGAGGACCAGTTAAGGTGGTAGTAGAGACTCATTCACATGGAAATTGGAACTGTGAGGGTAGAAATGCCCACAGAGTTTCTGAGAGGCACAGAATAGTACCTTGGAGAAGGTCTATATTTACTTGGATCACCTGGGATAATGAGCTGTTATCTTTAATTGGGCTTTCTAAGAGTTTTAATTAGAAAATGTGGTGGTGGTGATGGTGGTTTAAAATATATCTAAAATCTCGGCCTACTTCTGTTTTTTGAAGAAAAAGCCTGAAGCGTTCTAATATTTAATAATCAGGCTCTTTTAGTGCCCTGGGTGATTATTCTGAGTTTCAGTTTTTGTATAGTATTGTAGACAGATGTCAACATTACAGAAGATTGGCTTGAATGTATATTAATTCTGGCAGGTATCCTGGACTTAAAAAAACACAACTTTTTTGCAAATGTTTTTGTTCCTCTACCTTATTGTCTTAAAGCTAGAGTAGAATGTAGTAAAATTTTAACAGTCCTCTAATACTGTTTAATTGTTAATTCTAGATTTTGTATTATTTATTTGCACCCCATGTTATTCCACAAAGGATGTCAGGCAATTTACAAAAAAAAAAAAAAGAATTCACGAGAACAGGTAAGAGAATTGTATGAAGGAAATAAACCAAAGTAACATTTCCTTCTAAAGAGACAAACCATGTAGTTTGTTCATTTTTTAGGAAAGGGCTATGGATATTGTCCTGAACTTCCTTGGAGGCCAAAGCAAAGAGGGATAAAAAAATATGCTGTGTGGACCATTTATAGGATTCACAATATCCATTGGATAAAAACATTGCTTATCATGTTACTGAAACCTGATGTACATAAAGAGAGACAGCATTTGGACAGCATTCTTCCAGCAGCCACAATAATGAGCTTTTTATGATTTTTCTTATAGTATTCCTTAGCGTAAACAAATGACATAATGCAGAAGGCAGTTTTATGAGAGTGTTTAGGAGTGGAATGAATCAGCAGAGGTCTAATCAGCCTGATCTAAGAATACAATTTAGAAATGTCTAAAGGAATAAATAGATTACATGGCCCTTAGAAACACACACAGAAAAGCCTTTCATGTATTATTTTTGTAGCCAAGTTTTAAAGAAGGATTGAACAACAGAATTTTTATTTCTAGTTCCTGACAAGAACCTGGACTTTATATATTTTCTATCATTGATTAGAAACCTTGTTAGTTGGTTTCTAGTTTATTGAAGTTTTTATGCTATGTAACAATAAATTTAGCCTGAAATATATAAAATTGGGAATTTACGTGTGTACCTGACTTATTTAAAATTCTCATATGACACCTTTTTCTAACCACCATGAGTTTGCCAGGTAAAACTCAAAGATCTGCAGTAGTTGTCTAGCACAGCGTGAAACCAGCACTAGTTTGGTTTCCTAGCCATGTTTCTAAATGCTTCTTTTTCTTTCAAAGCCCAGTTTACAGCTTACTTCTTTTGAATCACCTTCTGCCTCATTACTACTGTTTAACTTCTCTAGTGGTTGCCCTCCCTTCACAGATGATCTGTAGAACTTGATAGACTTTTTCATCATTTTTTTCTTTACATTTTTAAAAATTTCTATATCCACTCTCTACAAATAGGTTGTAACTAATTGAGAGAATTGATCTGCCCTCCTCTATATTATTTTTGATTCCTCATCTCTTAGTATTGTGGTCTTCAAATTTGTACAGAAATCAAAATGCTCTTTGCAGAATACCACTAAGAAGCAAAACTAAGTGTATAATTATGTGTTAAATCAGATTATACATCACATTAGATTCTACTTCAGTAGGTAGAGAAAGACCAGAGTTTTGAGGGAAAAAAAATAGGTAAGTAACATTTAAAATTGAGAACTTCCCTTTAATTTTCTCACCCTGTATATGGGAAACTGATGAATTTCATCAGACTATAGTAGCTGCATACTTTAGTTCAGCTAATGGAGCGTGTTCTGTAGAGACTGGCTTGTGCTGGCACAGAGCCTTGCACATACAGTAGCTGCTACATGAGGGAGGGGTGGTTGTTTGTGGGATATGGCAGTGTTCAAAGTGCCATGGAGTTAAGTCTTCATTTTCTTCAGAATTCTTCACCTTGGCTCATTGATTGGGAGTGGGGGCTGCATAATCCAGTTTTGCGATTTCTCTTCATATTACATAGTGATATAACAGTTATTTGTATAAAATTTTAAGGAATTCATCTCTTTTATTAGTTGAAGGATACTTCCCTTAAATTGTAATAAATAATATATAAGCTTACATTACTACTTAAGAAACAACAATGATCATAGCAATAATTATGAACCATATGAAAATTAAGTTGTGTCTTATGAGATCTTAAAACTTTGAGGTTGGTTTTAGGTGTTTAAAAATCATAGTTGTACATTTTGAGATCCCTTTAAACGTTGAGACACTTTTCTTATGAAAATACAAACCCTTTGGGAGGTCAGTCATACTCTGTTGAGTTTTAGCGCAAGAAATAAAATTCCTTAGTTCTTTCACAGCAAATTCATTTGAAGTCTGATAGTGGCTGTGGGCTTCATAGGTTCTCTTCTTACCCTAGAAGTCACTTTCTTCATATTTGTCCCCAAACTGCTACCTCCAGCTGGGAATGCTGTTTTAGCTTAACCTGCCTTTTGGTTTTTGTTTCTGGATTTCCTTTCACTCTTTGGTGGTTTTGTTTGTTTGTTTGTTTCGCTGATATTTTCTGATTACAAGAATAACAGCTTCAACAATGACCCAGTTATTAAAAATACCAGCAATTGCCAGGTGCTTTACTTATCATTAAATTTAAGTTAAATTTAAGAAACTTATTCAAAGTCCCAAAGCTAATAAATGGTATATCTTGACATGCAATCGTTTGTCTTCAGCATTCACATTATTCTCTGGTAAAAGAAGAAGTGGCCTCCCTTTACCCTTAACCTCTTTCTTGACAGGGCACATTCCTAATTCTCCTAATTCTTTTCATTTTATGGAAGGAG